GCGGCAGGGGAGGTTTAGATTGGATATAAGGAAAAATTTCTTTACTGAAAGAGTGGTGAAACATTGGAACAGGCTGCCCAGGGAAGTGGTGGAGTCCCCATCCCTGGAGGTATTTAAAAGACGTGTAGATGAGGCGCTTAGGGACATGGTTTAGTGGGTGGTGGTGTTGGGTCGACGGTTGGACTCGATGATCTTAGAGGTCTTTTCCAACCTACCTCAATGAATGATTCTATGATTCTATGACATACGGTGTTAGAAGGGTTAGACCAGGTGCTCTTGTTGATTCACCAGTGAGCGTCTGAAATGCAATTGCGTATCTCCACGTGAGCTGGCTCAAATCTTGCTGCTGGCTAGTCAGCAGTGCACAAATCTGGGTTTAATAAATATGGAACCATAAATTTAGACAGGAGCAGGAACTGGCAACTAATGATTGTGACTTTTAGTGCCCTCAGCTGTTCATGCAACTGTTTGCGAAGCCATGCTACTAAATCAGATCACTCAAGCCAGATTTTAGAAGTTCTCTATTCCATTGATTAAGTTCACACTCTGGTCCCACAAACAGTTGCATTGGCACAATTGCAGCATTGGTAGACTGTGACACAGATAGCGTGGAAAAAAGGAAGGCAGGCTGCTGGATAGTTATTTTGTCAGCAGGGACAATATCCCTCCATAATTCTAGCCTTATTCTGAACCACAGACTCTCCATCAATTTCACTTTCTGATCCCTCATGCTCAGCCCTTCTCAAACTGTGCCTATAGTCAGACTTACATGCTTGTTAATGTCTGATCTCCACAATACTAGATCATCTAATGGTAGTAAATTGATCAAGATCAAATATGAGCATGTAATTGCATTCCTGTCAAGATTAGCCAGCTATGAGTTACAGTGTTTAGACCAAGCTTTTTCCTGGCTTTATATCGGCAGCAGGAAGAGAAATGATACCAACTCTAACATAAAATCATCAGGAGTAAAACCACTCTCCATTCCTTGTTTTGTGAGGGTTTTGGTTTTTAAATAACTTTGTACTGGTGGGTTGAATTTGTACAAATAATTTTGTGCCATGTCGCCATCCAAAAACTAAATTTATTGTATCATGAAATTGCAGTTGTATACTGGTGAGAGTATGCCTTCAGCTTCTCTTGTAGGTTATTTTTGAATATATAGCTCCTGTTGACTCCAGGTGCAAAGGGGAGGTGATTCTTTGTTAAAAGGTGATGTGTAATATTTTAAATTCTTACTGTCTCTAACCAAGAAAGGTCCCTATTTATTCCAACTAGTGCAGTTAGAAAGAAACACACGGGGCCTGAGGCAGAAAAACGTCATTTAAATCCTTTTCCTCTCTTGGCTGTACATACTATTTTATTCCTTTCATATCCTCGTGGATGTAAGAATAATCCCATGCACTTCTATACCAAAATAAAAAGGTTTTGGTATTTTCTTACCATAAGAAGTGTATTTTCAATTTAAAAAGCAGATCTTCACCTTAATTGTCTTTCTTCTTCTGTATTTCTCTTTATATTCATAAAGAAAGAAAAACTGTCTCTAAGTACAAAAAGATGTTAAGCAAGGGAGAGTCAAAGTTAAAACTTGGCAAGCACTAAAACAAATAATTTTTCCAAGGAAATGGAGGAGACGGGTCAAATTAATTCCTTATGTAACTCCATTTACCTCAGTGCAGTTACACGAAGGATGAATTTGGTACCTTATACCTCTGTGGTCAGAAAAGGATTTCTGTGATCTCAATCAGCACAGTATAAAATAATCATTCTTAAGAAATAAAATTGTAATTTAAGTCTGATAGAACTGCCCTTGTTATTTTTAGCCTATTAATATAATTGTAAAAGAACAATAGGTCTACAGAACAACAACAAAATCAGCTTCATAAAAAGATTAGTACATGATGATTTGCAGCTTATATCCTTAGTAACAGTTTTTTGTGGGCAAGAGGAATTCATGACGGACTGCTAAAATGGGCAGTAACATCAGGGACAGCTTCCCTGTCTTGTGAGTTCCAAAAGTTTTTCTCCAGTTTGCTGCATTGCAACTTCAACTTTTTTCCTCCGATCTCATTCCTCTCCCCGACCACTCCTAATTCAGTTCTCCTTTCTCTCAAGTTTCTTTGGGTTCCACTGTGTGTGCAGGGATCTGTGTGGCTTCTCCTTACCACTGAGTTTTCTAGATTTCTCTCTTCAGGCAGAAATATTCAGACTTTTGGGACAGATAAAGGAAAGAGGTTTGGCCTCCACCATAATCTCTTTTTAGATTTAAATATGCTTAAATTTGAAATGCTTTAAAATAACACATTTTCACTGTGAGAACCCAGCCTCCATGTGTCAATCCGTAGTACTCAAATATAGCTGTACCCAGAGATTATTTCCGTTTTAAAACCTTGTTATAAAACATCAACCCCTGCCTCCCCACCCCACTCCCAAATTCAGGAAATACTTTTAATATCAAGATGTTAACATCTTTTAATAGTGTAATATAAAAGCATCCATATAGTGTATTAGTGCAATGAAATTGAAGTCAACAGTCTGTCTCTTTTATCCTTACCAACTTGCAACTATGAGTTTTAATACAGAGGAAAGGATCTGTGTATACATGCATATAAAAGATGTGAAAATACAAAGCCATTTATTGAAAACAGACAAAACCAGGAAGATGATAAAGCAGCAGAAGGAAGTGGCCTCAGATATAAAAACTTTTGCTTTGTAGAGCAGAATTTATCAGTAAAAGCTAGGGTTGGCAAATTGCCATGCTTCAGATAAAACAAGCAATGTAACGTACAAAAAAATTTGCCATAGCGTACAAAATACAATAGACACTTTTGAAAAACTAATGTCCTACAAAGTAATTCAATTAAACATTTTTTGTTTCCTTTTTTATGAGTATCTTTAAAAGCTTCATTATATTTTCAAATACCAGAAATCTCAGTTGAACAAATGCAAGCTCTCCTCTAAGGATGTCTGCATCAGGTGTGCCATTCAGCAGGACGTAGAAATTTTCCAAATATCCAAAATTAAACAAAGATTGCTTTCAAAATAGCAGAACTATTAAAGTATGTTTTATAGAAAAATGATTCACATATTTAAAATATCTACTGTGCAATCTTAATCCATAAAGCTACTCAAGTAAATGTCTACTGCTCAACGTTTTCACACTGGATAAAGAATATTTTTTTAAACAGAATATCTTCTGCATTTCTTTATATGTTTGTGGGGAAAAATCGAAAGCTTTAGGAAATAACAGTACATTTATACCTGAAAGACTTTTCACATAAAAGTTTTTGAAATCTTCTGTTGACTGAGAACACTTCAAAAGCATGAGAATCTAGGATATTTAGTTCAGTTATTGTACCAGCTGAGAACAAACGAATTCTTTTCTGCAAGGATGTTTTCTCCTCTCTGGCCTGGTAAGGTCTGCATTCTGGTATTCCTGCTAGAAGAGAAACCATTTCAGTAGAAGATGGATAATGAGCACAGCTAAATTCTCATGACTACAAAATCATGCCCTTGCTCTTTATTCCCATCTGCAAGGCTTTTCCAGAACTCAGCACGTATGGAAGACTCCAAACCTGAAAAACAAGATGGCGGATAACTACAATTAAAACAAACAGATAATTTTTTGAACATCTTCATCACATTTGCAAGATAAATAGACTGTTATCTGAGTACTATTTATATTCTTAAATAATGTCCCATTCTCTCAGAGTGAAAACCTTTTTTAACTTCTTTGCAAGAATGGTTATCTCCTTCATAGGTTAAATCATTCCATGAAGTATTTTTAGGCTTTTCTTATATTTGACTCTTCGGTGTCCTGATTGCTTCTACGGAATTTCCAGATTTACTCTTTATGAAGAACAGTAGCCTGGCAGTTCTTTTTCTAGCTGCTGCTTTTTCCTGAACAGTCTGGACTTTCTGCATAATTTGTACAAAGCTCTCCTTTCTATAAATGTTGTCTTTCATTCTGTTTTAGTAAAGATGAGATATACAGATGTGAGTTAAAAAGAGATAAACTCTTCTTCATATTCTTCAGCTAAAATAATGAAAGGCTGTCTTGAAACTATTAGAAAGGAGATAATATTGTTTTTATTAGATTACAAAACTGCAAGTAATGACAGATAAATGCAGATAAAAGTCTTCTCAGAAATCTAAACTGCTAATCAATTAAAGATGTTATTCCAGAATGCTGACCATAGGCAATAGGAACAAGTAAAGCAGTGTCTTTATCACACCAGGATTTTGGAAGATTCGTATTAATTCTAGAATAATACAACAGAAAAGAAAGGTACGCTTTTACCATGCTTAATGTAGCACTTAGGGATGTGTTTCCATTCTTTGCTACTGGAGTTTTTATCATTTATTGAACGCACTTAAGCAGAAATTTATTCTTGAGCTAAACAAGCAAAGATATTAATGTATGTGTATGTTTACATGTAAATATTTATATATGGTTGTATACATGCAGTCAGAAAATGACAATTTCATATTTTATGTTAATGAAATGGTCTTTTATCTCTAGATCACAAGATTAGAAGTATGCTGGGAGTATGATGAGCAAAAGACTCTCTCTGAAGGCTGCTACAAAGCTGGTGTGGATATACTACATTGGTTTCAGTCCAGTTTTGAACAGAGGCATGGCCACTCATGTTCAATAATTGGTTGAATAATGGGAACTCTTTTTTGGTTTCCTTACAGAACCCATTAGCAAAAGTTTAGATGCAGACTCCACCTCTGAGTTTGGAGTCTGCCTGATTAAAATAATTTCTCCTCCCCTTCTGCTAACAATCAGCAATTGTTTAAAACTTCTGTAGTACTTCTTTAATAAAGTCACTGGTAATAACAGCAAATTAAAAAAAAGTCATGTAAAATTCTCCCTGAATTATTGAATTTACTGTTAGTTGGGGTTTCTTCTGTTATAAGTGGAAATTGCAAGGAGGCACTCTATTACTATTCTGCTGATGTATGGGTCAGTCGCAACACCCTTTACAATAACTGGGAGAAAATGGCTCTGGATTCTTCCTTACAATAACAAGAAATTATTACAACATAACACTGTTTGTCGGATTAATTTGAAAGCAGAATTTGTTGTGATTTAAACTGTGAAAAGAAAAAGAGCTCTGAAAATATTTTTTCATACCCGTTTCTTCTAACAGCCTAGTTTCTTGTAAGGACTTTCTAATTAATGTAATTTGGTGTGACTTCATTAACTCACCATTTCAAGAAGATAGTCCAATATATTTTCTTGATCAAAAGTAGTAGATAAAAATATTAAACTTCTATTTCTTTAGCTGCAGCACCAATGTCAGGCAGCTGAATTTAAACAAAGTAATGCAAAAGCCAGCATACCACAGGTGAACAACATGTAGTCAAGAAACAAAAAAATTAACATTTAATACTCCAGGAAAAAAAAAAAACAACCACAAAGTTACACTTACTTTGCATAAAAAGCTGTAATAACCTTGTTAACAATGACTTTGTTCAGTTCGTGTGAGTATCTAAGATTAAAAAGCAATAGTGACTAAAGCTATGTAAAAATTGTTAGCAAAAGCTGTTATCAATTTAATTATTCAAATGAAGTAGCAAGTTATACCATTTTATAAACTGGAATTCCTAGGAGTTTTCTCTGGTTTAGAAGACCATCCAGTATGCTGTAACTTTGGACATTGTGTATTTTATCCTTATAGTTCTCAGTTGGTAAATGCTGACTCTTCGTTTCAAAATAATACACATATATTAAGATTGTTTTTCTACAAGGAGTACAATATTTGTAAAGTATGCAATGAATTTCAAAGCACTTCAGGAACATGGCATTGTCTCCATTTGAGTTGCTGGGAAGATTCACATTGACTCTACTGTCAGTAGGCCTGGACTTTTAACCTGGCCTAAATTTAAGGATATTCCCACACAAGTCCAAACCTTGTGGTTTGGTTCACATAGGGAGATCCTCATGCTTACAGAGCTCTGATTAAGTCAACAAGGCTAGACATCAGTACTGATCTTGTGTGATTGGATTAGAGGATTGAAGCTGTGATTTGTCCTACTAAAACCGTTTTAAGTTACTTAACAGATAAATCCTACTATCAGATTTCTTTTCTTATTGATTACACTTTCTGGGGAAAAAAAAAATCTTGCTTGCTTTCTCCATGTTTTTAATGGACTACTTCACCTTCTAGTTCTCCATTATCATAAGGTGTATGTAGGACAGGAAGGACAACAGAAATAACTCTGGGAGAAAAATAGTAAAAGGGTAATTTTCCTTTGCCATAAAATGGATGTAAAATACTTGTGCTTTTTTATTTCCTCTGAGCCCATTTCCAGTCCTTATTTACCCCCACCCCTTCCGTGGGATCTGAACTATTTAACAGAGTTTCTGTTATAAAGGCAAATCAGATCATATCTATGTTGCTTCTTGTCTCAAGTTGTAATTCACATCTTCTCATCCCATGTTTCTGGCAAAATGACCTATCAAAATTAAACCAAGAATATGTTCAAAGCCCTTTTTTTTTTTCTTGGTTGGTCTTTTTTTTCCCCCCCTGAGTTTATTCCTTACCTCTCAGGTTTTGTATGTTAGGTTGAGAAGAGTAATCTTGTGTATGTCATTACCTATCACAGCTAGAATATCTGCTAGGAGGCAGAAGTGCAGTTCCCTCCCAGGCAGATCAGCTGCTGGATTTAACAAGCACATGTGAGCAACAAAGATTTACTAGAGGTATTTTCACTGATAAAAGCATTATTTTATAGTAACTATAGTAACAATAGCAATATACAAAATGGAATCAAACCTTCGGACAATGCTGTTTCAATAGGGGCCTTCAGAAAAAGCACTTCCTATGTGAAGAAAGAGAAACTGCTAAATAATCCATTCAGGAACAGCTACAATGCCTTACGGATACTTTATGAAAATACATTAGAATTAACTGTAAATTGAGCAAGTGGTGAAGAAGCTTGATGAACTGACCATAACAAAATATCCAGTAATGAAAATCTCTACAGACTTCTAGCTTGCTGGCATTGGCAAGTAAGTAGTGTAGCTAAGTAGAAAGAAGAAATCAGAAAATACAGTTATCATCAACTGCAAACGAATTATTATAAACCAGAAAGAAAATGTGAGGAAGAGCTCTGAAAATGATGTTTGACAGTGACAACACAGACCAGACAGCTTTTATTTTAACCAACAGATTGTTGGGAACACACACCCTATATCAAAGTGAAGGACTTAAAAGCTGCTATAGTCTGTACAGAGGTTCTCACTCAGAAAGCAGCTAGAGGGAACAGAAGACAAAAGGCTGTCCAACTTCGAAAAAGGTTTAAATTTTCAGTCTGTCTTGACAAGTAAATCTAGTTTTTGTGGTAGTCTCCGATTTTCAGCCTGATTGATAGAAAATTCAACATCTACAAACCTGACCTAAAATGACAGACACCTGAAGGTGTACAAGCAAGCCCTTAGAAAGGTGCTATACAGTACCATAAAAATATTTTTTGGTTTTTTAATCTTAAATGCTTTTATATCGAAGGAGGGGAGCAAAGACCAGATATTGGAAATGTTGTAACTATTCTAACTCTGGAGCAGGTCACACATGCTTGCAGTCAGTGTGCAATACTTGGAATGCAGGGCTAAGATCTAAGAGGTGATTTAGGAATCTCTGCTGTAGAAAAGATTTTTTTAATTATACGAAGCAAGACAGGATTACTGAGCTCAGAAGGGTTATTTGTGAATAACTTCCAGCTAAAGTGATTAAGGGCTCCAGCCACTAGCCCAAAAAAAAGAGCATCAAAAACATCCTGCTTGTCACTGCTGCTGGCTTTTTGTTCAATGAGCAAGAGGTGAGCATTTGACTTGTGTGTTGGTTTTGGTGCTTTGCCCTTGGGGTTACTTTTAACAATGCATGATACCTGAAAGAATTCCAAAATGTGTTTGGTTGTTTTTTTCTTTTCTTTGAACTATGAGGTTAAAGATAAGTAAAGGAGTATTTTGATATGTCTAGAAAATATTTGTGATAACAAATAGACACAGCGCTTCCTAATGCTCAAGAGACATATAACATGCTTTTTACAAGCACACCACAGTTCTTGATAACAAGACCCCCATCCAGTATTTTCTTTTTGAATGGAAGGTAAAGCACTCCATCCACTTTTAAAAAATCATTTCCGTAAGAAATGTGAATATCTTCAGCAGAATCTTTGGTATTTGTGTTTGGTTTGAGGTTTTGTTTTTTTTAATTTTAAGCTGCTATCATATCTGCCAGAAAAGGCAGGAGCTAAGAAGCATACTGAAGAGGTAAATGTTGTGATGGGTCTAAATTGCTAAAAGGTTCCTCTGGCAATCTCAGATTTGCAAAGAGGAAATCCGAGCTCCTGGACAGATGAGCTGCTCTGATAGAATTCTATAGTATGAGATGAACAAAGACAGACTACCACAAAGTCATAGGCTACCAGCTTGAATCTAACTTCAAATCCTAATAGGAAGAGATTTGGATATACACGTGATAGTATGTCTATTCCTGAGTTTATTTGCAGAAGTATTCTGAGTTCCTTGAAGTTCCCCATGTACTGCAGGTATCCTGCCCATTTATATAAATATATATAAAACTACTGATAAACCATCTGAAAGTGATGACAATGGGAGTAATTAAGGCTAGATCACATCACTGTCACAGTGGGGTGGCTAGAACATCGTGGGCAGCCAAAGAGGTTAGAAACTATTACTTCAGTATGTACCATGCAAATTCCAGAAGCAATGAGGAATCTACAGTGATGTGCAGAGAAAGCGTTGATAGCACTTTCTTAACTGTGGATGTCTAACCACATGCTGAAACTTCACAGATCTTGTTAGATGATTACATTCATTTTCCTTTCCCCCTCTTTTTTTCCTGTTTAAATACATGTTTTGAGGGAAAAGATTAATCATTAAGAAAAATAGTACATATTCATTTAGTACTTAAGCTATCAGGGTTGTCAATACCATTTCTTTTCAGAATAAATACAGCACATAACAATAACATACTTCCTCAAAATATATCACTTGTGGCATGAAGGGACCCTGAGATCAAACAAAAACTGTAAGTTAATTATGTCTTTTAAGTCTAGAATCAAAAAGTCATCTGATAGCAACTTTCAGAAGAGAGATCTGAAAAGTGAGGGGTTTCTGTTTTGTTGGGGTTTTTTTAATATGTTTTTTAATGCTCAACATTAAGCAGAGGATACATGTTTATTCCACTCCTTTAATGTGAATATTTTATTCAGCAAAAACAAGAGGTCTGACAAACCTGTTAATACTAAGGTGATTTTAACCCTGAGGAGAAACATCCAGCAATGCTATCCTGACTTACACAGGAGACTTGCTATGGCTGTTCTACGTATTTAGCATGGTTTGCGTTCCCCTTCTAAAATGAAACCTGTTGCAAGATTAGGAAATACTGTGGAATTACATTGATTGTAACTGGTTTGGTAAGGTGTGTCACTAAAAAAAAGTGTGTAAAAAGAATGCCTATGGATGAATATTGGTGGCTAACATGATTAAGCTAGCCTAGAGCTGAGATACCAAATTTCCAAGGCCAAGCACAAGGCATTTAGCCCTTTTATTCTCACACAGGTTTTAAATTTGTTTGGTATTCAGTAAATACACATCTCCCAAATTGTATCTCTGAAAAAGCCACTCACTCTCTAACTTTATATCGTTAGAAACATGATCTGTTTAAGTACACCTGTACAATTTATACAGTGAAAAATTGCAATGAGAAGCTCCAAAACTAGCTCTTTTGAGCACAGACAAAAGATCATTTTTAAAAAGATTTTTATTTCTGTTTTTAAATAGCTTGATAAAACCCATCAATTGGTATTCAGAGTTCAATTGTAAACAGTTACAATACATTACTGCTGTGTATTGATTTTGTACATTAACCTATTTGCAGTGACAATCCATAAGACAAGT